CTACTATGCTTCAACTGACACAGATCGTCAACCAGGGCCCTTTCCAACAAATCTCAGCTCGAACTATATGCGGAGACTTGCAGAGGCTAGGAATGCATAGTCGATTGCCTGGGAGAAAACCATTAATTTCTACCTGACATGCAAGAATCGTTTGCAGTGATGTCGGGAAAGAAGACACTAGACGTCTGATGATTGGAAACAGATAATATGGTCGGATGAATCACGCTTCACCTTATTTTGTACTGATGGAAGACGTCGAATTTGGCAAGAACCCCATGAAGCCATCTTGCCTTGCTCGCACTATGCAAGGGTTTGGTAGGAGTATCATGATATCAGGCACGTTCTGCTGGCATGGAAGTGGTGCCCTGGTATTCCTCGAGGGTAAAAAAACAGCCATAAGACCCCTAGATATACTGGCAGATCAAGTGCACCTGCAGTGTTGCATTTTTATCCTGATGGCGATACTTCAAGGACGATAATGCAACTATACATCGTGCCAAAAGAGTTCAAAATTGGTTCGCTGAACATCAGTCCGACTTCTAGCACCTTCCCTTGCCACCGCATAACCCGGATCTTAACCACGCAGAAAATGTGTGGGATATGGTGGAAAGACGCATCCGACAACACTCTCTTCTTCCATTTAATTTGCAAGATCTAAAAAGCTGCATAACCAATGCATCGTATTCCCTGGACGTAAATGCACTCCAGAATCATGTAGACTCGATATCCAAACGAATCAGAGCAACTATCCGCGCAAAAGGTAGTCCAATAAAATATTGATCTTAGGTTTCTAATTCATTAGTCAGTGTGTGTAAGCCACCATGGCTCAAGTAACCAGCGTTGCTCAAGCTTTACGAAATGTGAAGAGGCTTCATTTAGGGAGAAGGAGGACACTTTTTCAAAATCTCAGGATTTGAAAAGTTGTTAAAACTGAAATATGATTGCTCTGAAAAACTGATTAAAATTTTAGTGAAAGTTTTCAAAATTTCAATAAGAATTTTTCTCAGTGATTTTTTTTAAATTTTGCTCAAGGTGAATTGTGCAAAATTTTACCAAGCCCAAATAAAATAGTACAGCAGTGTAGAACTAACACTCCACCACGTAGCGGTTTCAGTAAAAACTGGTACTGTTATCGGTTATATCTTTTTAATGAATTTTTGGAAAATTTGCCATCCACTTACTTAATTTTTTCACTGTTTTCAAAATATTTTTGAAAAACTGATAGACAATGAACTTAAATTCTACTTAAAGGTTGCACAATGTTCTGAAAAGTTCTTCACTGCTAAAAAGTAAATGAAAGTGGCGCCATACAATGGTTCTAACAAGAATTGATATCGGGAATGCAACAACCACGAGCTGAACCTTGGATGGGTGGCATAAGGGAAACGTTCTAGCATAGACACCCTAAGTGTGAACCCAGTGGGTTGGATTTTATAAATCTTATGTAGACAGTGACCTTTCTTTTTTTTAAAGTTCAAGTGGGCAAAATTTCGTAAACATCGAAATAAAACTGCAGTAATGTATGAATCCCACACACTCATACCTCCCTCCAAAAAATCTAATGTGCACATCACATGACTTCCTTGTACAAAATATTAAATTATACGCATTTTTTCCTGCATTGCATTTAAACTTATTTCTTCGAATTTCATTAGTGATATATTTCTCATTCAATTAACTCAGTTCTCACTTCGGGACTAGGCAAAAATACATAAAACCTCAAAATATCTTTATTAAAAATTGAAAAATATAGAAAAATATAAAACACTAAATACAGTTAAAGCAATTATAAAAAACAATTTTTACGATTAAAATTAGAGATTCTATGCAAAAACAATCAATTCGGCAAAAAGGCAGATTTTTCGGTGCACAACACTGAAATTTTATTTTTGTTCCCACTCTGGAAAAAGACAATGAAGGTGCAGAAACTGACTTAATTCACTATTCTGCTAAGTTTCAAATGTAAACAAATATGGCAAAAAGGGTAGGCTTAGCTGCACCTAAACAACTTTTAAATTGTTGATAATTCTACAAACATTGCATGCAAATTAACTAAGGCATAAAAACCTTAACCGATAGATTCAATCATCTTTAATCAACATGATTCATCATCAACAATTCAATCATTCAACATAATTCAATTATCTTTAAAACAAAAAATGCACAATTTACCAACATATAAGAATAAAAAAATAAAAATAAAAATAAAAAAAAAGAGAGAAAGAGAGAGAGAGCTCACAAAGCCGAGTAACTGAATGGGTATATATATATATATACTTTGGGTGCGGCTGATTGCAACCAAAAAGGGAGATGCACAACTACATGTTATAGCAATCCTATATACAAAATTTCAATACTCAGAGGCTACTCGTTTTTGAGTTATGTGAGATACATATATACATATGTATATACATACGTATATACGTACAAACGTCACGAAAAATTCTCTTCCGAATCCATTTTAAATCCTTTCTGTAATCCATTTTTGGGGGAAAAAATAGAATAAATTTGAAAGAAAGATTAAAATAAACATTGTTGGATGGAAGATAAAAATCTTTTATCTTGGTCAGTGGCAACACATTTCTTTTAAATCACTTAGTTTAGTTATTAAATTCAAAATGCATATTATGAATAGCAATACATTTGTTTTATATCGCTTAAGTATTCTGATATAATTTGAAACATAAATATCTTATACGCTTTGCAGAGTGGCAACATGAAGTTTTACTGATGCAACTCGGCAAATTGGCATAAACTCATTGTATTTATTATAGATACGTAAAGTGGCATTGAATCTGTAGATGACTTTATGAAGGCTGGTAACAATGCTATATTTATTTCAATATTAACATACTACACATTGAAGAATCAAAGGGTAATAACCTTTTTCTGTAAAATTTTTTTTATTTCCTTTGAAGGAAGCATCAATTTGTCCATAGTCTCCATGACAAAAATGTAATTTGCATTTTTGTAAGTCTGTCCTTGAGATACTTTATTATGATGACAAATGTCAGGTTCATGGAAACTATCTTCTGAGAGTGAATGGCAAGTTAATAGCAATATGAGGCAAAAACGCTAAGTAATTTTTATGAATGCAAGAAATAATTCGTAATTCAAGCTTTTTCATACACCCCACATATCTTATTATCTTTAATGCTGCTTATTGCAGATAAATTTTTGCCCAATTTTGTCAAAGTATTTTAAAATCTCATGCAAAGAAGACAAATTTGTTTCCAAACAAGATCTTCACCAAACATTCGTCAATTGCAAACAAAAGCCTTGATTAGAAGAGGTTCAATTGTATTTAGCCAAAAGGGGGAAAAAAAGAATATTCAGCGCATTACTAACAGCAACAAAAGAAATATTAAAACACTTTAATGTGCATTGTTTGGACTCTAGCACCTAATTTGTTGATTCTATAAGTATCATAAATGACTGGCACTGGTGTGTTTTGAAGCATTTAAGAAAGTTTTTGAAAAAGCTACAGGCAAATGAAATATTTTTTGCCCATTTAACATATTCATGGCCCTCCTCTCACTATATCTGATTAATCAGTTATAATAAAGCATACAAATATTATGCTCCCTAAGAAAAGGAAGTTTTCATGGAAGACTTTCCAATGGAAACTGGCTGGTATTCACATTACACATGGAAAAAAATCATAAAAACGCCCATGCAGCCAGTCTATTTGCGAATATTTGATTGAATGCAGACATTTATCACCAATTTCTACATTTAAATATTTACATGACTTTTTGCAACAAAATCTTCATTTTCTGACGCATATGACGAAAATACTGATCAGGATAACACTAAAGAAGAAAAATGAATGCATGTTTTGTATAGTTCAAGAAGTTTGTAATTTACCTTTCATAAAAAAATTTTAAAAAATTATAAATACGAGCACAAAAATAAAGCATTTTAATGTAAAAAAAATTAATTAAAAATAAGGCAAAAATTACATAAAAAGTGTAAATTTAACTACTCAGTAAAATTTATGCCAGAAGCTACCACACACACTTTTTTTTTTTTTTTTTTTTTTCCCCCAGTTGATCTTTTAGGAGGTTCTAATTCCAAGTGATGATTTTCCTAAATAAATAATGTTTATGATTAAATTCTTCAACAGAATTCCCATTTAAAATTTGATTAGATGATTGTCTTTGAATCAGAAACATATTAAGTGCAGTTAAAGATCCTCTTCTTGTAGAAATATTTTTCATCAGACTGAAAGCATGTTTAGCTTGAGATCAGCTTCTGAATTCAAGTTTAAATGAAACCAGAGAAGTTAATTTTAAGGAAAAAAAGTATTGTTACAGCATATAAAATGTGTTTTCCTTGCAATAAATAAATATGCTTCATATTTTCTAACTAGGTATTAATTTTAATGGTTCTTTCTTTTCTGAACTTTTAGCTTTTGTCACATTTTCATGATCTAATTCAGCATGACTTTAACTCAATTGTAAAATTATGTTTCTACATGCTCATGATAGAAATAAAAAGTTATACTTTGCTTTTTGATTTCTAAGCAATACTATTTCATTATATGTTTTTAAAAAAAGAGACAGAGAAAAAAGAAAAAAAAGGTGAGAAGAAATTTTTAATTCTACGTAACAAAGAAAGAAATAGTTTATTAAAAAATAAAAGAAAATTTACAATATTAAACATATGTAACTTTATTGTTTCTTTTTAAAATATAAAGTATTCTTTCCTTATTTCAAATAACAAGGGCAACATCAACACATTTCCTAAATGCAATGTTGAAACAAATCAGCTGAACAGAAAGTAACCTTTTAAAAACTGTTAAACAGTCAAACACTTCTTTTCATATAAAATTTTGTGAAATATTAAAATATAGCTTTTAAATATGAAAATATTAGAAATTTCAAAAGAAAGAATTTAAGCCAAACATATTTTACATAACTTATATATTTAAAAATGTAGAAAAAGTTCTGAAAGGTTTTATTTCTAATATTTATAATAAATAGCATATGCAAGGTGTATTACTGTCTGGGACTATGCTCCTTTAATTCATTTTCTATTAATTTATACAGAAATTTGAAATAGGTTCAAGAAATAAGACATGATGTTTTCTTAAGATATTTCATTTCACAACATGTGTGTCTTCTTTATGTACTTCAACTCACAGGCATAAGCGGTCTTCAACAGATACCTCCTCTAAAAGGGAAATTTCAGGAAAAAGGAGAATTCTTGCAATTATAAAGCTGTAACATAAAAGGGGAAAAAATAATGACACTGAGAAATCTTACCAAATAATTAAATAAATTATATTATTTTAAACACTACTGATACAAAAACTTATAAAGCAGCAATGACCAGTTTTTAATAATGTATTTACTCACACATTTCTCCCTTGACTTTCTACTGCAATGTTCTGAAATTCCTCAAGTTTTCACATAATTTTCTTCTTTGTCAAGGTGTTCATAAAACAAGCTCCCCTAAATTTTAAAATGGATTCTTCCCTGTAATGGTTGTTTTCATCTTACTGATTTGCTTGCATATTTTATGTGCATGGAATCTGAATGATGAAGCAATAATAGTAAAAAGCTTCAAGAAAATGGGGATAACTAACATTCTTTATGGTTCTGAAAATCACTGGACATAAGAAGACAGAGCCACCAATGATGTAGACCAGGGTTTCTTAAACTGTGGGTTGTCAAAATTTTAGCAGTTTTGAAATTTCTTTAACTTTAATATAATAATTTTACAGTTACCAAATATTTTTACACAATGTACCTAAAAATAGATAAAGATAAGACAATACAGACAAAGAAAAAAATGAAAATGTTTCGACACATTCTTTTTAATAAACGTTCATTTTCCTTGCTTTGCATGTGATGCTGTCATTTCGTCTGTTGTGCCGGAGCCCTATGGAAGACCGTCAGCAAAGAGGAACAATAGTAAATAAGTAAATAAAATGACTATTAACTCATTAATAATTTTAAAATTAAATAGTTAATTATTATCAAATTAATTAATAGCTATTTTATTAATGTTTATAAATTGTTTATTAATCAATAATTATTATATAATTAATTTTTATTTATTGAAATAATTAAAGATTGAAGTAATTAAATAAATAAAATAAAATTAAATGTAAAGAGATAAAGTGATATTTAATAAGAGATTTTCAATATAATTTTATTGTTAAAATAAAATTTCTACTGAAATTGTTACTTAGTTACATAAAAGAAGTGCTGCAGCCTTCTTATTCAGTGCTTCGGTGCGTTCTGGCTAGCATTATGATTTATTACAAAAACAAAGAAGCACCGGAGCCGAGATCCGGTGGGCTCCGGCTCAATTTAAGCTCTGATCATGGGGGGGGGGGGGGGGGAGAGTTCTTTTACCATCATAAAAATTAAATATAAAGTATAGCTCATGAAAATTCCAGGGCAAAACAGAATGAGGGTATGAGTGGGTGGAAGCAAAAAATGAAGGGAATCTTAATGAGAGAGAAAGTTCTCTTTGACCGCTGCTCTCTGCTGATATAATTATAGCCATCAAGCAGATGTGTGTCAGGGGCAAAATGACTCCTGAATCTAAGGGTGAATGTATAGCTGCTGGTTACACTTTTCCCCCATTAGTGGATACTGTGGGAAGACAATGTATAGGACGTACTTGAGCAGTTTATCTCAGTATTTCACTTTTATTGTACTCGCTGTCACTTTACGCACTTTTAAGAACACAAACTTTCCTTCCTGCGAGAATAACTAACTGTAAGCCTCGATAAGAATACGATGGCATTAGCGAGAAATTACGCGTTCCTAAATAGCCCCCCCCCAAATTTATTGCCCTTCTTAAAGGGAAAGGTCGCATGTGAGTGAGGGGACTTTACTTGAACGTCTCATGTTCTCATGAGTTCGTATTTCTAGGGAAATAGAGTATTGCAAAGTCTGCTTTTTGTTAAACTAAAACATTAGGAATTCTAAATTTTTTCCCTTTAAATTGTGGTTCAGTTTCACAAAAAGAAGTACCGAAGCTCATCTTATTTAGGGCTCCGGTGCGCTCCAACTAGAATTGTAATTTATCTTAAAAATTGAGAAGTGCCGGAGCCAGGCTCTGGCACTATTTAAGCACTGAAGTTTGGCACGTTTCTAATCATTCTTCCATGAAGAGCTTTACAGCATCCTGATGTTGCAAAAAAAGATAAAATGCTTCTTTTATCATGTTTAAGAGAATTATTATTTCAAGTTAACAAATTTGAGAAGAATATTACTTTTGTTTCATTTCTTATGTTTTTCTCTCAAATAACTTTTTTGATTCATACGTAATGAATCACCGCATCCATCCATGCTGCTCTCATTGTGTAAATAGTTAGCTTGTCCAGCTAGCAGTTGGAAGATCCATGTTTTGAATCCTGGTGAGGACTTAGGTGATTTTTCATTTCTTGCTCCGAAATACCAAGTACCTGTTGTTTGACTTCTGAATTAGTACCAAGTACCTGTATACATGAAAGATTTGTTTTGACTGCAAACCACTTTTAAAGCTCTTACTATACTACAGCAAAATCTTAAAAGCTTGATCATATAAAGTTTGAAAACTGGTTAATGCTGATGAACTAAAAGTATTTTAATAAAAAATTGAATGAATTTTAAAATTTATTATTCAGTTTGTGGCGATTGAGCAGGCCTGTCTGTACGAGGGTTTCGTAGCTTCATAGCTTTCTCAGTATAAAATACATGTGAGCCAGTTTCTTGTAATAAATTCTTCTTAAGACTAGATGTTTTCATTTTGCAGTACGGAAAAGAACAGACTGCTTCTTTAGAGCAGAGTTTCTTAAACTGTGGGTCTCAACTCCTATGGGGGTCACAGGCCCTGCAGCAAGGGTTGACAAAAATTTTAACAGTTTTGATATTTCTTTTAACTTATTATATTATAATAATTTTACAATTGCCAAATATTTTTACACAATGTATCCGAAAATAGATAAAAATTAGATAATACAGACAAAGGAAAAAAACAAAAACGTTTCGACACATTCTTTTTATAATGTAAACATTCATTTTCCTTGCTTTGCACGTGACACTGTCATTTCATCCGTTACTTATTTAAAATTTTCACATTGTTCTATTTCTTAAAATTAGAAATTAAAGTTAATGACCTAAAACTACAATAGTATATTACAGTACAAGTGAAAAACTTGATAGTTTCACTCATGCGTATGTCGGATTTACACAATACTTACGGGGTCCCACAAAATTTTTGTAAATATTATGGGGTCTTGAGGGTCAAGAAAAAAATCTTAGTGATAAAAAGGGGTTGCGACTGAAAAAATTTTAAGAAACCCTGATGTAGACAATAATAACAATAACAATGGCGATTACTTGCAAGGTGCAGCAAACACCATAAACAGTAGTTCCAGCAGCATTAAATGATTTGAGGCTTCGTGAGTAGCAGCGGTTAGCAACAAGATCAGATCAAATTCACGATACAAAGAAGTAGAAATGAAGGTATCTTATTAGATATTGTAAAGTTAATACAGTACAAAGTCGGAGATCTGGACATCCAATATCCGGAATGATCTAAAATCTGGACCTCAAAGCCACCAACAACCATTTTTGTTTTAGGATTCTTTTATGCCCTCATAATAAAACATGCGGCTGTAACAATCCTGATTCTTAAACTCACTTTGGCACTAAATAAAATATCTCATTATTGAAGAAATCATTCGAACATAAATTTGCGCAATCAATAATTTGACTCCATAACTGCTTATCTGATTGGCTTACATGTCAAAACAAAACATTCTGCAAAGAATCGACGATTTTACACTAACTAATATTTTATATCCTTGACGCCAACCTGGCGAATCATTATTTATTACATTTTTCTTTCATCACTGCACGTTTATCAACACATGACAATTTGAGTTATGCTGCAATGCCTAAACAATTTTTCTTATATTAGTATTTGAATAACGAAGACTATGATAATCTTTTCTGTTGACATCATGATTGGCGCCGATTACAAATTTAAGTTAAATGCACTAAGAAATGTTGCCGAGGAAAGATTTAACAAAAAAATTTTTTCATATGCTGAAATTAGATTTTGTTAATGATACTCATAGGCCAAAAGATTACATTTAGTGCTATTTGGGTAAAGAATACCTGATTTGTTTTTCACATAAGGCCAGAACCGGAGCTAGAGCTTGCACGGCTTCATCGGATGGCAGAATTTAGGGAAAAAGAGTCATTAAGAGAAGTTTTTCATTGCGATGACCATGCCCCAATCATCAAACAATTAATGCATGGCAAAATCTGTAGTATGGTTCTAGATCCAGAAAATACCACTACTGATAGTGAAGAAAGTGACAGAGAGGTTATTGAAAACGAAAAAATTTTGATTGACAGGTTAGTTGGAATTCTCAACCCAGCAATTACAGTACTTGAACTTAGTAACTGAATAAGAAATTATATCTGTCTATAGAATTAAAGAGAAAGTATTGCACAAAAAACAAAGCTACTTAAACAACTTACATTGAAAGAAATTTCTACCGTATACGCTCGTGTAATGTCCGCACCCCAACTTTTCAGAAAAAATTTATGTTAAAAAAAGTGACTCACACCACTTTGTCTACACCCCAAAAACTAAAGAATTTTTAACTTTAAAATATATATATTTTTAACATCGCCTTTTTCCCTTCAGTCAATAACATTAGTCAATAAATCTTTAAAGAAAGAATATGCATTTGTCTTGTCTTTGATTGGCGCCAGAATGGAAAGCAGAAACTTTCCTTGCATTCTGTTATTCAGTCATAATAACAGCACCAGCAATCCACTCAGCAGACGTGATAATAAATAAAGGCAGTCCAAACAAGTTTTGACCACACTGGCTTCCAGGAAATACTGTCTGGTAATGAAATTACTTTCCCCTCCTTCCTCCTTGGAGCATTCACATATTTCAAGCTCCCTTTTTCACTCATAGTACCATTTGAAATTCATTGTAGTTAGCAAGCAGCGTGCTTGAAAAGGGAAAATACAGTGACTATACGGCGGCTTTTAAACTGAAAGGTCGCAGAATTTGAGCAGGAAAATGGAAAAGGATCAGCAGCAAGAGTATATTAGGTGGATGAAAAGTATATATGAAATAGGAGCAAAAAGCATCATCAAGTGGCAGTAATGAACAAAACAAGATGTGCATTTCGTCGTTCGAAATGCAAGTTTCCAAACTTTTTTTTAAAAAAAATTAGTTGCGTATGTTCGTGATATGCATGCTCAAGGGTATGCAGTAACACGGGAAATGTGCCAAACAACAGTGCTTGCTGTGGCATGAGAAGAAGACATTCCTACATCGCAATTCAAGGTGAGTAAAGGCTGGTTGCAGAAAATGATAACACGAAATGGATTTTCATACAGTGCGTCAGAACAGATTTTCTTTTAAAATAATGTGTGCAAGATATTAAAAGAAACAACGTTTATTTAATTTGTGTAAAAGTAAACATTAAAATTGCATGTGTTGGTTAATTTCTGCCTCTATATTATGCTCCTGTGTGAACTAATATGCGCCATGTGTTGATAACGTAAACAGGGTAATTTATATTATATATGTGGATGGGAGAAAGTAAGTTTGTACATTTTAGGTAGCTATTAGACAACGTTAAATTGGGTACTTTTATTACTTATACCATTTTCTTCCATTCAGAACTTAACTTGCCTGTTTGAAATGAAATTTATACCCAAAACTACTCACGAGTAAAATGCAACATTTGAACGACCCGTGTAATGCCCGCACCTGCATTTTGTAATGTAATTTAGCAAAAAAAGTGTGGACATTGCGTGAGCGTATACAGTAATAAAGTAAACATATAAATATGAAGCTTTTTCTTGTAAATTTTCATACCCTTTAGATCATAAATGCTTCATATTTCAGAAATCATGATTTCATATTTTTTATTTTATAACTTCTACATGCCATCTTACTAGATTTAACTGATGATCTAATATCTGGAAAAATCCCAAATCCAGGCTGGTCGAAAAGTCCAGATCTCAGACTTTGTACTGTATTACTATGTGGAACATTACTATTGAAATGCGAGTTCCTATCAAACAAACAATATTGTGATAACAACTGGCAGTTTATCCAACAATACTTTTCATTTGTATGTTGCTATTGTAACTGTGTTCTTCAAAATTAAATTGTTCACATGGTTTTCCCCTCTTGAATTTCATGGGATTAGTAAAAATGGGGAGGAATATACAAATAAATATGGTATTTATCTTATATGTACACATAAAACATAATCGTTAGATTTTAAAAGCACTAATTAGGTTACATGTTATTTTAGCTATAAATTATCATTTTGAATAAATATTTCTAAAATCTTCATCAATAGCTTACAGTTGTCTAAGGAGTTGTGAAAACAACAGACATTACTTAAATATTTTTAGCATAACTCCTTGGTTATTTTGCCATATGATTTATATAATAGGCTTCTAACATTTTGATAAAACAACACACATCATTTTCAAAGGATTCTATCCCCTCCCCACACACACAAGAGACATAACTAAGACCCTATTTTATAAAAATACAGTTAGAAAAATTAACTGTATTTTATAAATGCAGTATCTACACTTGAATTTGGAACTTACATATACAGGCAGCTTTCCCAGATGTCTTAAATTTCCTTTTCTAGCATTTTTAATATGACAAAAACACGATACTACATCCTTTTTAACATGAGAAAAACCCATGATATTATATAACTTTTTAATCTAGAAAAACTTGCTTCCTAAATAGCTATGTTCTATAATAGTTTTAGCTTCAAATTATCCCCAGTACTGAACTGTCTTGCTTGAGTCATCATTTTAAAGGCATCAGGAAGAGACAATTCAAAAAATATTATTGAAATATGAAAAATGTATGAGAAACATAAATTTAACAGATACAAAATTCTATGCAAACTCCCAGCCCATCATAATTGGAAGACCCACACAATTTTTGTTATTCAAAACAGTTAGAGACAGTACCTGTTTAGCTATGGTACAAATCTATCATGCTTATTCCTGGCCCACCTTACCAACAAAAACTTGTGTTTACCCTGGCTAGTATTGCTGCATTTTGGAATCACAGAATCCCTTACTACTTGACACCCACAAAATATGACTATCATTGAAGATAAGCAGAAGCGAAGTGTGCTTGAAAACCTCCAAGTTTTCCTCACTTGATATTTAAATTACTCGCTTGATACTAATGCTACATGATGCATGAATTCATTGCCTTCCCTAGCTTTTTCAAAAACCAAGAGCTTTATTACATTGACACAGAAAAAAAGAATACTTCTGTAGTGGACTTTTTATAAGAAAACTAGGTCAGCTTTTACAGCATACAAAAGCAGACAATGAAAATGCTTATTAGAACCAGCCTGTTCATCCAGAAAAATTATATGTCCTCTGTCGCTTTAGGACTCATTTGCGGCAACGCTAAATGGCACTAGAAGCACTCTCTGCAAAAGCTGAATAATAATCATAATTTCATTTAAAACATACTTCAAAGAGGTAAAAGTTTTATTGAAAATTGTTATCTGCTGTGTTTATCTAAACTTCAGTCAATTTTTCAAAATCAGTCAAAAGTATCCTGAACTCTACCTAAAGATGTTATCTTCATCTAAAAAAATTTTGTTCTTTCTATTCCTTAATGCTTATATAATTTAATTTTCTCATTTTGACATTAGACATTACTAATAATAGCATAAAGTAAATATGTAACTTTTCCTATACATTAATTGGGATTATTTTCATTGGAAAGCAGCTTAAACTGTCAATATAAAAAATGCATTTTACAGAAGAAAATAGACATCAATGAATACATGTTCAAAGTACCAACATACAGAAAAGTCATTATTCTATGCTCAACTAAATTTTACTTCCAAATATTCGTGAATAAACTTACCCTAAAGATAATTTGCAAAGAAGTTAATCTTTTGCTTTTGCTCTTCGCTTTTTGAAGTAACTCTTTCCAAACTCATAAGAAGAAATCATTATGGCACACGATGGAGCTACTTTCATTATTCGGGGAAGTAAACCTATTAAACAGTCAATAACAGAATTCAAATAAAAATATTATTATCTAATACAAGCATACATGACTACAACATGATTTCAATAAAACTCTGCACAATTACAAGGGATTTTCAAAGAAAGCATTTACTCACACCTCTAAAAAAGGAAAGTCTACATTTGTAAATACATTATTTGGATCGGCTGATTGACAAAAGCATGGCATGGCTTACAATTAAAATGCAGGTACTTCAGTCAGAGGGTCTGGGAGTAATATGTCGCACATAGCTCCTACCTTTTCTTACTTTATCTGTATAAAATAATACAGGATTGTCACTATTTTTAATTTCCCAGCGAGAAAATATATTCATAAAAACTACTTTAAAAGAACAAAGTGTATTAAATTAATTTTCTATGGCACACACCAAATGAAAGGAAATACATAATTTTATCAAAAATATACAGAACTAAAATTTTATTATTATTCAAAAACAGAATATCGCCTTATCTAAAAAAAATTAGCAAATATTGAAATTTACATAAAATTTAGCAAATTACAGAAAGATTATGAAAGTTAACAAAATGTAGTAAGTTCAGTAGTGATAAGTTCCTATTCATTCAGTGACCACAATAACAAAATATTTTGTTTCCAATGAGACACTCCATTGCTCAGATCAACTTATACAGTAAATATGTTACTTGAACATTTTAATTTCATTTACATTAAATTCAAGAAGAGCAATCCAGACTTTTGCAAATCCATTGCCTTAAAAATCTCTTATAATCTTCTTTACAGTTTTGATGAATTTAGTAATGCCAATATAAAATAAATCAAAGTTTTTTAATTTGCAATGATAAAATTTGTATGCTCTTACATTAAAACATCCATACACAGTTGCAGCTTAAAAAATATTAATTTTTTAACACGTAAATAAATGAGAGGAGATATGAAACTGGTCATCCACATGAATAGCAGAGGGTAGAAAAAGAATATCAGCAGGTAGTTGCTTCCTCTAGAAATGACAGCAAAATTCCTACTAATAGTATTTGCAATTTCTTCTGTTGCGCTGATCATTCAGCCAATTTTTTCCCAAAAAGAAATGCGAGTCTTTTGGGGGCATTTTTTTAACTCTTTCCCATACTTTTTTACTTGATGCAGAGGATCCTATTTCAGACACACAGGATATCCACGAATCCTTCTAACTTTTGCACCTCACTCTTCTTGTATTTGCTTTAGCATTTTTGAAGGCAACAAAATTTGTTAAAATGTGGTATTTATGAAAAACTCCCCAAGCATTTCTCTGTTGCTTCAGCATATCTTGGCATTCACAGTTACACCATTGGTTTTGAATACTTTAAGACCCGTCCACACGAGGACGTTCCCGACGTAGTTGACGTAACTTTTTTGACGCCGGCGTAAATTCGCGTGACGCAGACGTAAAACCATGGAGGTAGGAAAGGGAGGAGGGGCCATTCCGCGCTAGAAGTGAAGCACTGCTTTGAAGCTTGGGTCACCAGACAGGGTGTTCTTTGTTTACATTCAGAAGCTCGCTTAACAAGATTCTGATAGTATTTCGACACACGACAGTTCCATAGAAATCGAAAAAGGGACACTCTCGCATGAAAGAAACATTCATAGTGTGATGGATAATAGCAATTTGTATAGTTTACTGACATTTATGCAAAAATCACATCTTGGTTATTTTTCGATAACTAACAACAGCGATTTTAATTATGAATTTGTTTTATAAAATTCTAAGCTGTTGCACTACAAAAATATAGATTTTAAGAAAATTTCTAAAAGAGATCTGCCAAAATTTATTTTCTAGAAGATTTGAAAAGTTTGAAACTTGATGGCTAAATGTAAATATAAAATTATGTATGTTAAAATATTTTGTAATTAGGCACATAGGTCAGATTAAGTTTTTATTAAATAGAGTAATGCATGCAAGGGCTATCTGCCTAAAGAGAGAGATGCCATCGTGGAGGAATTTTGAAGAAAAACTGACCTTTGAGTGGGTATTAAAAATAATACTTATAATTTTCATTCAAATTATATTCATATATATTTTTTATGTAAAACTTTCGGATGTATGCTAAATTAGTGTAAATTACTTTACACGAAAAATATAGTGAATGCACAGAAATTAAAGATTTGCACATGCCGAGAAATGATAAATAGGAAATATGCATGGGTATTTATGCATGTGCTTGCAAAAAGCATGTATCTGCCTTTGACAAAATACTTAAATATTCATTAAATTATTTATAAATGTATTTGAAATGAAGAATTTATTCACTTATAAAAAAACTGTGAAAGTACTGTGAAGAAATCTAATGATTAAATTTATCTAATTTATAATAATTATAAATGTTATCTAAATATATAATAACCTTAATATTGAATTGTAAACATAAATTGAAATCCTGTTGACAAATACGTTATAAAACTATTTAAGCAAGAATTGTTCGTATTGGAAAGCAATCTGTTAAAAGGTATTGTAAAGCAAATGCTATGAGATGCACACTTAAGAACGTAATAAAGAGTTTTGGAATATGTATTGTTGAAATGAAGGGTAAAAAAAAAATCTGATAAGTATAATTAAAAGAATTATTCCCTTTACATTTTATAATAACTCAGTTACAAGTTTTAAATAATACTTAAAAAAAAAAAAAAAAAAAAAAAAAAAAAAAAAAAAAAAAAAAAAAAATTATTTTATTCCCTTTCAGAAATGTTCAGAGAAAGTCAAATACTATTTAATACCTATTTAATTATTAGGAATTAGCGAAATACTTATTTAAAGTATTTCGCTAATTCCTAATAATTCTCTAATTTAAAATGAACCGAATAGAGCATTAATTATAAATTGACTTACATTTTTCAATTTAAAAGAAGCCAAAAAATCATGTCATATTTAAGAAAGTATTTTAGGAAGAAGCTCTATAAATAGAAAAGAAATAATGCATAATTTTAATTTTAATAATACAATAAACTTTGATCTTAATTTTGTACCTTAACCGAATAAAATCAAAATTACCTTAATTTTTTTTTCTAATGTAATTAACGAAAAACTTGTGAAAATATTTCATTCAAATTAAACCATTCTGAGAAAACTGTCCTGTGAAAAGTATAGCATTTAATTCCGTTCAGAATGAAATGTTGTTTAAAAATATGTTGTTTTCACATACTTAGGACTCTGAAGTGTTGCAGGAAAAGAAAATATATACATTTATATGTATATTTGCGACGTAATTACAAAATATTTACACTCGAACGCGTCAAATCCCATAGAACTCAATGGTAAATGACCCAATGTTTTGGTCACCACGTAGGGATCGCCGGTGCTTCAGAGCAGATTACGGAGAAACTTGTTTAGGGCGACTCCATCTTACTTCCTACCTCCATGTGTAAAACTGAGTACGCTCCTGTTCAGCGTTTTCGCCCGCGACGTGCGTGTATAACCGATAGCCAACCGAGTTCTTATCATGTGTCATAATCAGAAAACCTTCTCGCTTACCCGTTTCAATATGGCGTCAGAACCACACAGAGATGAGTTTTTGCTTAGAAATATCATAACTGTATACAGCAATAAAATAATCAGCATTGTTCACGCCATCTTCAGATTTCTCAAACCGTACATATTGGTATACATTTAAAATTCTCATTAAAGGGAAAAACTATATTTATAAAGCAATGATCCGACCAGTATATCCATATGCTTCACTTATTTATAACACCGTAAGTAATAAGAACCTAAATAAATTACAGTTTCTACGAAATCAAAGTTTCTGCCTTACAAAATTCTCCTTAATTATTATAAATATTGGCTATATCATATGTAATAAAAAGCTCTATAAATATCCCAATATTAAATACACCAAAAACTAACTTCAGCAATATAACAATTTCTAAAATAAAGCAGTTGACTGTGAAAGAGTATTCAATAAAATACAATTACGAAATTTTGGAGGAAAGTTACAACTTGTGTCATACAGCAATCATTTATTGAAATTTAATTAAATTACCTTTGCAGCGACTTCTACTTGTTACATTATTTTTCACAAGCACTGCTATCACAGATAGCTGAGTGGTCAGCGCGGTGCTTTGGTGGCAGAGGAATTGAAAGGTGGCGAGTTCGATCCTCACCCGTAGACGAATATATAAATAAGTTAGCTATTCTCATTTTTAAACGTGTTTCTTATATTTAATCATGAATCATTATATTCTTATTTTACCTATTATTATTTTTTCATTTCTTATTTTATTTATTATTATTATTGTTTTTAATTTAGTTTAAAAATGTGCAGTGTAAATAAAAATCCTTATGTAATAATATATCTGAATCTCTTTATCATATATCATCTATAAATTGACCCTTTATTTTTACTTTATTGCATATTTTATCATGCACATAATTTCTCATAAACTGTCCAAAGTTTGAACCTCATTCTAAATTCAAAAATAAATAAGAAGAAAAATAAAAGGCCAAGGGAGGGGGAGTTAAAAAATTATGAAGTTGGCTTTATTATATGGTGGATGGTGTATATAAAGAGAATTAAGTAATTTAATTCTCTTTATATACTGTATTCCAAACCAATTTTATAAATCGTAATTTTCATACAATATAGAATCTGCAAGTCTGTCAAATTGGTCGATACTCATTCTGAAGTAATTAAAAAACAAGTAATATACCAAAAAAAAAAAAAAATTATGTCAATTCCTACTTAGGTACACAAAGAAAAATTTAAAAAATACAAAAATAAATAAATAAATAAATAAAAATACAAACAGAATATTTTTAAAATTAAAAATTTTAAAAAAATTTAATATGTGAAAAAGCTGTATTAACATTGTCATTCACTACAAGTTTAAAAAATTGTATTTGAACTTGAGTGGATGAATAAAAAGCATTTTATGTACTGAAAATTTCAACAAGATATAGGGAGAGTGTGAGCTAATAGTAGGAATTTAATAATTCCGGATATTTCTTTCGCAAACAAGGCAGTAAAAAAAAAATCTCTTTGA